TGAAACTTCCGGTGAGGCGGCGGAAGTAGCATTCCAATGGTATTTTGTGTGTTAGTTAGCGAAGAGGCTAGCTGTTTTTCGGAGAATTATTTTACTATTTAAAGACGCAAATCTTTATGAGAGATGTCGTTACGGAGTTCAGGGACAACATGTGCTGTTCGCGGTTGTATGTATAACCGGACTAAACTAATTTAGTAGCTTAAACGTGATTGTTTTGAACATAAGCTGAAAACGAAATCAGAGTGATCCTGCCAACGACTGTAGTTTCCATCACCTCCCGAAAGACGACGAATCTTCCTGTGTACATTTGTTTAAATTCTTAATATTATATAAACTCTATCAGCATGTGATTGGCTGTTCGCTACTGATGTTACACCTAAACTCAGGATCAAAGCCTGTGTTGACAGAATACCAAATGTGCCAGTTAATGTATTCAAGCAGCACATTCATTTATAATTTTGAATAAACTCCAAAGCACAATGACTAAGTGTGTATTTTTTATTTTAATTGTTTGTCAGCTCACACAACTGTCTGTCACCATGCCTTGATCAGTATTGATTATTAATAATGTTATTATAATACTACTGCGGAGGGTAAAGGTACTGTTATTTCACCCTTTTGAATTTCGTTGAGGTTGTGTTCCCACATCGTTAGCTAGTTTGGATCGCTATAACTTGAATGACTGTCAGCTGTTGAATGAACGAGTGTCAAGCATGTCAAATCGCGCTTTGTTTACTTCCAACCGGAAGTCGCGCCCACTTTTGACGCAAGGCCTCATGGGGCGTAGGAAACTTGTGGATAGTACAGCCGAAAAGTGTTTTTGATAATATGATTCGTTGCTGACTATACAAATCTTCACAGATCCTTTGAAGAGTTCAGCATTCGTATAAAGCTTATGATTCTTAACAAGCTGTTTTAAGTCATTAATTAATCATCAGCTGGTTGCTGAAACACACAGGAAGTGTCAGACGAGTTTCCTCTCTGCTGGCTGTGTGTGTGTGTGTGTGTGAGCGCTCAGCCAGTCTAAGCAGAGTCATTCTCTAAGATCAACAGCAAAAACACCTGAGAAAACACAGTAATAGCACCTAAATTCTCCAAACTCCCCGTACGCACTCGTGTAGAAATATCAAGACATGTCAGTGTAATGTATACAGCCCAACAGAAACCTGCTCGTGTTTATATACATTTGAATCCGCGGCTCGCTCTGTGTGTGTGTGTGTGCCAGAAGCGAGTCATGGTGTGTCCCCAATGCACCTTTACACACGATCACTTCCTAAGTTATTCAGTTTGAACCCGACCTGAGCGAATAATGTCTAAGATCTGTTATAGATTAAATCATTAGAATTAATCTATAGAAATGCAGTGAGCGGTTCTAATGACGATCTGATCTCAATTAAAGAGCGTTTGTTTATGTTGTTTCTAACTGACTTTGAAAGGATTCTGCCAGTGTCAATGTAGCTTTATTTCTCTCACATGTGCTTTTTATTATTCTACATCTGCTTTGACCCTCCAAACCATGTCGGAAAGTTACCAAAAATCACTCACTCTGGCTTTACAGAACACATACACATGCACAAACACACACACACACGCTCAGACAATGGGAATCTGCTCTTTCCTGTGGCTCCTCTTAGCTAACATTCTGGCAAGATCCTCTCAATGTTATGAACAAATCTTCTAGTAATGTGGTTACAAGTTATATAATACTGTTCCCAAAATGAAAGCAACAGAATGTTAGAGAACTTAAAAAAAAAATAACAGTCCCATAATGTTCATTTGGCTGATAATTTACTCACCCCCATGTCATCCAAGATGTCCATGTCTTTCTTTCTTCGGTCGAAAAGAAATGAAGGTTTTTGATGAAAACATTCCAGGATTTTCTCCATATAATGGACTTCAATGGGGACCAAACGGCTCAAGGTCCAAAAGACAGTTTCAGTGCAGCTTCAAAGGGCTTTAAACGATTCCAGACGATGAATAAGGGTCTTATCAAGCACGTTCGTGACTCTCCAATTCGAACTCGTTCATCAAAACGAACAAATCTTTTTCCGAGTCAATTCGATCGTTTCGTTCGTTAAATGCACCAAATGACTCGGAAAAGATTCGTTCATTTTGATGAACGAGTTCGAACAGGAGAGTCACGAACGCGCATCACAGAACAGAGCAAGGCGACCATTTGAGCTTATAAAACTTAAACTTTTTTTTTTTTTTTAAATGAGCGATCGTTTCGCTAGATAAGACCCTTAATCATCGTCTGGTGTCGTTTAAAGCCCTTTGAACAGTTTCCAGTTTGCACTGAAAGTGTCATTTGGACCTTCAACCATTTGGACCCCATTGAATATGGAGAAAATCCTGGAATGTTTTCATCAAAAACCTTAATTTCTTTTCGACTGAGGAAAGAAAGACATGGACATCTTGGATGACATGGGAGTGAGTAAATTATCAGCAAAAGTTTTTCAAAAGTGAACTACTCCTTTAAATGTGTGAATTGGCCACGACACACAGGAAGTTGAACTTGAATGACAGGAAGAGGAATTCTCTGAACTGCGATTCAATATGTGAATAATATATGATGGTTCAGTTTTAAGGAAATGCATGCATATCACTTTGAATTAAAACATCTGCCAAATGGATGAATGTAAATAAAAACTATAGGTGCTTTACATTTCAAAAAGCATTCTCTATGCAATGCTGAATGGCAGTGTTTAGGTGCTTTGACACCATTACACACAGTGATACAGAATTACAGCTGATAAATACCAGGACAAAGACATACATCAACTAATAATTTATTTGTATATTTGATTAATTCAGTGGTCATTGCAGTTACAGAAACGGAGTGATGAGAAGGAGAGAAACTCTCCCAGTACGTCATGTGGAAACATCCTCAAACTGCACAAGTACATCTTCATACAGACACACATCACATTCAGTCTAATGGATGTACAAATACATACACATATTCATTCACACACACAGATACGTCAAATATACAGTCGTGTGCAAATCGAAACGTTCGGTTGATTTCTGCGCGTCTTCAAAGCTGATTTTAGCACATGCTCAGACTTTGGGATGGCAGTGAAATGTTTTTGCCAAAATGAATCAGCCAAACATGAACTGTGGGAACCGTGCCCTAACTTTTGCACACAACTATCAACACAAATACATTCGCACAAGCACGTCTGTCGAATCCCTCCAGGAACAGGATCCAGTCGTTCTCTAAAATTGTTCATTTATTTAATGACATCAGGCTCATTAAAATCTGCAATCGGCACCGCTCATGCAGCGGGAAAGCTTTTATATGTTTATAGTCTCTCGTCCAAACCACGTCCAGGAGTGAAATGAAAATGGAAATTAATGTGGAAATGGCATTTCCTTCAGGAGTTCAGGAGGGAATAACAGCGTGCTAGTTACTAGGTAATGTTTGCACTACTTATTCTGATTTTTATAAATAGTATGTGAAACATGCAACAATAAGCATTTGGTATGCAAACTTCATCACGTCGCATGTTTAAATATGGTTGTTTTGCTATTTCAATCCAAGTTTGTTTGCCAGTCAGACGACGATAGTCCGGTAATTGCATTTGTCACACTGCAAATGAAGTCGAGTGCATTGCATTGTGGGAATGGACTTTTATCATACAGCTTTCCATACTGTTTACTAATAAGAAAAGTATGTGAAATAGCACGCAGTCCGTACACATCCCTAAGTCCAAGATTGTGAAGTATGTGAATGATTTATTGGTCACTGCCGTGGCCACATTCTGTGGTCGGTGTGCGTCATGGTGTGTGTGTGTGTGAGAGTTTACCATAGTGTATCTACGGATGCTGATAAAAAGTATTAACATTTTAACACTACTTTAGTTAACTCTCCTGTTAGTTTAACAAAAAAGCAAACATTGGCATACAAAAGACTAGTTATTGCATAAACACAGACATCTATCAACATAAAATACTCAAAACAATAGAAATCATGTTATAAACATTCTGTCAGCAAGCTCAAGTTCACGTGTCGTCAGATTCAGAAACGTACCAGAATGCAATTCATGAAGCTGTGCAGGTACACACTGCATTCTCGTCACTGCCACAAGAGGCATTGGGATAAACTGTCTACTACACAACCTTTGCCACGATTTACAGTCCGGGGGAGTCGACGCTAGCTGAGAGTCACGAACAGAGCGTTTGAGCTTATAAAACTTAAACTTTGTTATTTATTTGTTAAATGAGCGATCGTTTCGCTTGATAAGACCCTTATTCATCGTCTGGTGTCGTTTAAAGCCCTTTGAACAGTTTGCAGTTTGCACTGAAACTCTCATTTGGACCTTGAACCGTTTGGACCCCATTGAAGTCCATTATATGGAGAAAATCCTGGAATGTTTTAATTAAAAATCTTAATTTCTTTTCGACTGAAGAAAGAAAGACGTGGACATCTTGGATGACATGGGGGTGAGTAAATTATCAGCAAAAGTTTTTTTGTTTTTTTTAAAGTGAACTACTCCTTTAAACTGTTGAAATGTTTATATCTCGCTATATGAACATAACATGGAAAATTCAATCATTATTTACTTGCCTCATGTCATTCAGAACTTCTATGCTAGTATTTTCCATGAAAACAAACGGATTTTTGAAAAAGTTAGCCAAAAGTTAGAAAAAGTTTCAGCTAAACCACTACAAAAGCAGTCCAAACAACTCATGAATATAAGTCTTCTTTGATGACTTTAGTCAATATTCACTGATAACATCATGTGGATGACTTTTATGGGGATTTTTGTCATTTTCGTGGAGCACTATGGGTTTTTGAAATGACATTAGTGTGAGTAAATGAAGAAAAAAATATTCATTTTTGGGTGAATTTTGAGTGAACCGTCACTGGAATGACCGACTCAGTAACTCAGTAAGCATGTTAAACCACGTTCGCCACGCATTCATGCATTTGCATACTTTCTATAGGACTGTTAATGCACATTTCTGGACCATGAAAATCCTTCCGTATCACATCCACACGTACGGTGCTATGAGGAGACTTAATAATGTCTTCCAACGTGAAGGCTGACGATGATGACGATGAAGATTGTGAGGTTGTCAGAACATGTGGTGAACACCGGTGTGACCAACGGATGACGAGAAGAACCGAACCAGATGCGGACAGAATCGTTCTGCTGATTTGTAATTTGAGGACGTATTTCATATTTGATTGATTAAATCGTGGCTTTGAGAGGAATGGAGTGTGTGTGTGTGTGTGTGATTAGAAACAGTCTTTTTAACGGTCCCTTTAAAAGGCTGACCAACAGGACGACATATCAAATAACGCACCGCAAACGTACAGACGACACGCAGAGTTCGGTCTCGCGGTCTCCCGCGTACGCAGGACAGTGGTCAACAATAAAGAGTTCCCTGCAATCCCATCACGCTTTGCTGCACTTGCCTTTCTTCTCTTTGCGCTGGAACTTGCGCAGTCGTCGAGTCCAAATGTCCCTCCACTGAATGACCAGGCTGTTTTTGTCGGCCTGCAGTCCCGGGCGTTCGGGGTTCGTGCCGCCCTCGGTCGTGCCCAGGATGAGGAAGCGTTTGCCCATGTGTATTCGTGGACACTTGCAGGCCAGATCCTTCATGTGGACCCACAGCACGTGATCGCCCCTCTTCAGCGGCTCACCTCGACTCTTGTACACGGACACCAGATTCACGGCAAATTTAGCCCAGTCGCCGACCGTCTCCATGTCCAACACGCTGACCTGGACAGCTACACACACACACACACACACACATATGAGAACGCTACACCTGATACACTTAACAGTAAGGTCCATTTTTCTTCTTAAATAGAAAGCATCGTGATGTGTACATTACAAAAGAAATTGTGAGATTTTGCCAGTGAATCTTTCAAAAACAGCATGATAAAGGAACTGTACCGTAGTCCTTTTTGCAGTATTTCTTCATGTTTATCTTGAGATTTCCCTTCAGTGGTTTACAGTACGAGTCACAATCTGGCAACACAGAAATGTGTAATTAGAATTAAAACAAACTGTGGAAAATAACAATCTACAATGTCTAAAACACTACAGTCCATTCATCTGTCTGTCTATCTATCAATCAATCTGTCTATCTATCTATCTATCTATCTATCTATCTATCTATCTATCTATCTATCTATCTATCTATCTATCAATCTGTCTATCAATCTGTCTATCTATCTATCTATCTATCTATCTATCTATCTATCTATCTATCTATCTATCTATCTATCTATCTATCTATCTATCTATCTATCTATCTATCAATCTGTCTATCTATCTATCAATCTGTCTATCTATCAATCAATCTGTCTATCTATCAATCTATCTATCTATCTATCTATCTATCTATCTGTCTGTCTGTCTGTCCGTCCGTCCGTCCGTCCGTCCGTCCGTCCGTCCGTCCGTCTATCTATCTATCAATCTGTCTATCTATCAATCTATCTATCTATCTATCTATCCTATCTACCTACTCATCGTTCTGTCTGTCTGTCTGTCTGTCTATCTATCAATCTGTCTGTCTATCTGTCTGTCTATCTAGAAAATGAATAGTTGAATAAAGTTTTTTTTTTTTTTTCACACAAAAAGTATTTTTGTTGCTTGATAAACTTAAGGTTGAGCCACTGTAGACACTTGGACTTGGATTTTAATGATGTCTTTAATAATTTTTCTGGGCCAACAGAATGAAAACACATAGCAACCTATGGAGGAGTGATCCAGCGCTCAGATTTCATCAAAAATATCTTCATTTGTGTTCAGAAGATGAATGAAAGTCTTACGGGAAATTTCATTTTTGGGTGAACTAACCCTTTAAAAACACGTTTTGAAATCGCTGGTGTTTCTGCCGTCACAAACGACCATGTAACCAATCAGATCAACGAGCGCATCTCTGAGCTGAGTGAGTGAGTGGAGGCGGGGCTCATTTGCATATTCCTAAAACCGCGTATACTAAACGAGGCAAGGGTGTCGAGTTACATTCAAGATATTTTAAGGCATGAAGAATGACATTTTGGTGATCAAAGATGAGTTTTAAAGGATACAATTATTGACTTCAGAGGGACTTTAAGGGTAAGACATTAGTGTGTGTGTGTGTGTGTGTGTGTGTCGGTTTCAGGCATCGCTCACACTGTGTGAAGTGTTCAATGACCCAGAAAAGCTGTTGAAAACACACACAATTCCTTTACTTCTCTGCTTTCACACACACCTCTGTTTCACTTTCACTCGTGACAAGGACAGATTGCGAGTTCTCCGCCCCTTTCCACCAGTGTTACAAAGACAAACAGCGGAGAAAACTAAGCGTAACTTCCTCTGTTCGTCTCTAAACTCTGTCCTGAACGTGAGTGTGTGTGTGTGTGTGTTTGTGCACTAACTTGCAGGCTCCTCTGTAGTGCTGATCACAGCTGTCGGCTTTACAACAGGGATTTCTGAAAGACACAGTACGGTATGACGTCAGTGGGTATTCCAGTAGCTCAAACTGTAGATTTGCCGATTCTCGGGAAACGCAAATAAAAACTATATTTGATATATATATATATGAAGAGTTCAGATGCAAAAGCCTCTAAGTGCCATTTGAAATTTTCTTCTAGAATGATCATTTTTATCAAGGTTGTATATTTAAGTTCAGTGATTTCACTTAAATTGCAATGAGGACTACCTATTAATTGTCATTTAAGTGAAATTACTGAACTTGAATATATAAGCTTGATAAAAATGACCATTTTAGAAGAAAATTTCAAATGGCATTTAGAGGCTTTTGCATCTGAACTCTTCATATATATATATATATATATATATATATATATATAAAAAGATAAAAGTGCACAACTTAAATAAAAACTAAAAAAACTGAAAATATAAAAATAAAAACTAATTCAAAATATAAATAAAAAACTCTCAATGACAACAGTGTATATACTTGGTTATACTATGGCTGTCCTGATTAAAAACGTATATTTAAATAAAGTGAATAGTGTTTTTTTGATGCAAAAAAGTGTTCTGGGGTGTATGTCTCCATTTAAACAGATAAACTGTGTGTGTGTGTCACTCACTAATGCAGGGGGCGACGGGTGATCGGCTCTGCTGATACGCTTTTGCACAGCGGTTGCAGGTGATGCCGGTCACCCCGTCTTTACATGGGCACTGACCCGTTGTCTGGTTACACGTTTTACCTGCAGCTCCCACCGGATGGCAGTCACATGCTGGAGAGAGAGAGAGAGAGAGAGAGAGAGAGAGAGAGAGAGAGAGAGAGGGATGATCAGCTCTGGCACAAGCGCAGAAGGGAAGTCCAAATAATGGCCTTAGCCCCCGTCTGGACCAGTAAACATTGCCATGACACTCAATCTGTTACACACACTTCCCGTAACCACATACACACTCTGCTCTATCTCATTTAAAGTCACATGGCTCAATGATATTATATTAAAATATGGGCTGTATTTCAGGAATTACACATAGTAACCAGCGTTTCAGGCAACAACAAACAAAGAGTCACAGCATGGAAAACAGGTTTCATGACACACTCGAATACACACACAACTTACTAAATAAAGTCCAAAAAAAAAAAAAAACCTGGCTTGTTCAGAAATCATGTAATGATTCCACAACAAAGATCTACTCATACTACCAGTCAAAAGTTTGTGCATATCTGCTTATGCTTTATTATGACTATTTTTCACATACCGGTATTATAATAATAGTAAAGATAAGTAAGTAATGTATATATGATGTATATAAAATATGTATATATGATGTATATATAATTCAAATGTATATAAAGTGAAGATATTCCAACTATGACATGACAATAAAGTATGGGAATTATATAGCAACAAAAAATATTTAAAAAAAACAAACATAAAAACGTATATAAATTTGCTTCATTGCAAATTTAGGGTTAGGGTCATGGATTTTAAATGGGAAAAATAATAATGTTCAGTAAAACATCTTAGTGGTTAGAAATATTGAGCTCTGGCTGATGGGCAAAAATAAACTTTTATAATTATAATGATGGTTTTGTGTGTTTTATTGATGTCTATATTAAAGTTTTGAGCATGCATGCGTTTCCTCTCTGTGTTAAGACTCTCAAAGCACACACACACACACACACACACACACACACACAAACGCAGAGAGATAAGGTTTGAACAGCTGTGGCATCTGCAGGTGAGAGCTGGAAGTCCACAGTTCCAAAAGAGATTGAGCCGTGACTTCATGTGTGTGTGTGTGTGTGTGTGTGTGGAATTTAAGGAATTCTCAGGTGCTGTATCACAGTAACGCTGATAAGAGGTCTCAGCGCTCAACATGGGCGTTATCAAATTAAAACACTGACAGCACTACAAAAGAGCTCCTGATTGACACACATACACACATCCATTCAGTACAAATGTCACACAGAAGAGGTTCGGGAAGCCAGAACAGCACTGGCTCACGCTAAACCAAACGCTATTTAGCTCATTTCAAACCAGCAGAGAGCAGCAGAAACAACTAGATTTTTACATTTGGAAACTCTTTATTTTGATGGTCCTCTTTAACGAGAAGTAAAGTTGAAGCTACATGTCAACTAACTCTCATTAGGTTATTAATAGAGTATTAGGAGACTGTCTGCGTAATATCTGCTAACACTTCATTGTATCCCAACTGGTTATAAGTAATTGTTTCACTTATTATAAGATTGTTTCACTTGATAAGACCCTTATTCATCGTCTGGAGTCGTTTAAAGCCCTTTGCACTGAAACTGTCTTTTGGACCTTGAACCGTTTGGTTCCCATTGAAGTCCATTATATTCTTTCATCAAAAACCTTAATTTCTTTTCGTCTGAAGAAAGAAAGACGTGGACATCTTGGATGACATGGGGGCGAGTAAATTATCAGCAAAACTCCTTTAACTTTAACCTAATTTAACTTATAGAAAACCCTCTACATATGGATTGCCTTTTCCTTCCAGAAATGCTCAACTTAAGACATCTTTTATCCAAACAGTTGAATTTTTCTCAAACTCTGATGTGTGTTTTCTTACAGCGCTGTGTTTGCTTTGGCCGGAGTGACGGCAGCAGATATATGAGCTTCATGTACAGGCTGCTCCCAGTGCACTCCAGTCGAGCTGTGGTTTTATTGAACTCTATACTATTTTTAGATTTTAATTTATATATATGTGTGTGCTTCTGATTTTATGTGGAAGCTTTCAAACTGGAAAATACAGTGCATAAAACATTTTACACACATACATACATTTCGACACATAAAAAATTACCGAGTCACAGTAAGAAAATAAACATCAGTGTCTCTTATGTAATGGAGCAAGTTATAAAATCATATCTAAACACATTATTCCAACAGTTTTTTTAAGGTCCAAACCCACTAGACCAGGGATTCACAAAACTTTTTGGTCAGCTGAACCCTCTTGAACTGAGATATTGCCCTTAATATTTAAATAATTTAACAACACATTTTCATGTCCAGAGATGACATGCAGACAAACAAGTGAAATATTTCATATTTTTATATATAAAAAAATGTGTTTGGAAACGGTCATTATTTTTGTGATTCCGTGTGTTGCCACTAGGGGCGCAGAACTCATTAGAGATTAGAGATGAAAATCTCTCATTGAAGATTAAGATCTAAACAAACCTGCCAGTAAATGAAATGTAGTGTGGTACCTTTGCAGGCCCGGCGGTGTGTGATGGGTTTGCCCATGTCCCGGTAGAATCCCTCTTTACAGTAATGGCAGTGTCGTCCAGCGGTGTTGTGTCTGCAGTTCATACACACTCCTCCACTCTTACGGCCCGAGAGCTTATATAACTCCATGTTAAAGCGACAGCGTCGCGCGTGCAGGTTACAGTTACACGCTATAAAGACAGAGAGGGGGAACACGTTATTGACGAAAGCTGTTTTTAATGGATAAGCATAAGGTGTTTTTCTCAAAAATACAATATCACAAAAAACAGGGATGGGCAACGATTAATCACATCCAAAATAAAAGTTTGTGTTTACATAATATATGTGTGTGTGGTGTGTTTAATTAATTTGTATAGATAAATACCCACACATGCATGTATATATTTAAGAAAAATGTGTTATTAATATATCAAATATTTATTTTTATATATAATATTTATTATGTATAAATAAAGGATGTACATGCAAATATTTCTTAAATATATACATTCATGTCTGGGTATTTATATATACAAATTAATTATACACACCACACACACATATATAATATGTAAACACAAACTTTTATTTTGGATGCGATTAATCGTTGCCCATTCCATAAGCTTTAGAGCTCCACAAATAACAACATATTCTCCTCTTCTTTAGTTCTCTAGTACTTTAAATAAACTAAAAAGCAAACTATAGATCTGCAGAACCTGCAATCATGAAACAAAATGTATTAGTCTCCAAAAAAAAAAAAACATATAGCAACCCTGGACACCTGAAAAAGTCATCTTTACTGAATTTTTATTTTTCAAGTCAACATGAAACAAGATTTGCAACGCATTTCAAGTGTTTTTAGATGGTTAGATTAAACAACACGATTCGAATATTTGTTAAAATTAACCAACAGCCAATATGGCCTAGATGTTAATTTTAGCCAGCTCATTTTTTTTCTGAATCAGATGATAAGTTATTACATTTTAATGAAATATTGTGAAGAAAATTGTAAAAAAAAAAAAAAAAAAAAATGATGCACTGGTCAACCAGTCATCAATATTTGTTGCGCCAAACACATGATCGGCAAACTTTAATATTGGCCAACATCAATATTGACACACTGAACACGGACACACAAAAAAGAGAGCACAGACGTGCCAGCAGAGAAAATACCGTACACAGCCACAGCCAAGCTCCTGATTTTCGAAAAATTGGAAGAAAAATATAAATATTGAACTGAGGGTGAGGGTTCATATGAATGTAAAGGAACTGACTGTCTTCAGAAAAGTTTTGATGGCATTTTCTTTTCCTCTTACCTCAGTACCATCGGTTAAACGCCACAGCCTACCTGAGTATATGACCATGTCCATCTATAAACCTCACTCCCCTGATCTCAAGACATATGCTAGCGACTGACACTAGAGGCTGTGGTCTTTATGCTACGTTCACACCGGACGCGAATAGCGCGTCGAATTCGCGTCTACCGCGTCTAGTTTGACGCTTGACCACTTTGTGTTAATTCGCGCGTCAAGAGCGAAACTGACGCGGGTAAAATGAAAAGTTTGAAGCGAAATTTACGCGCGTCAAAACCGAAACCCGTTGACGGCCATCTTTGTTTATGTTGATCGAGCATTCATCGAGAGATTCACTATATTTGCTCTGGAGATCTAGAACAGCGGCGTGGGGATCATCGCCGTATTTGTGTCCACCGGACCCTTCGGAGGCGAACCCTTTGGCTAGTTTACCATTTGCTCGCTCCAGGAGCTGGATGACGGCCGCTGTCAGCGGTACTTCCGCCTGTCCCGCGCCCAGTTTGATGACCTGTTGTCCCGCATCGGAGCGAGGATCACCCTCGCCCTCATCCACCTAATCTAGCTGTCATTTATTTTTGTTTTGATGATAAATAAGAGCCAGCTTCCAAAAGTTATTAACCTGTCCTGTGATTTTTTTCTCTCTCACGTCCAGACACGAACTTGCACATATGTTGATTGTCTTTACATCATAATACTATTTCATATAATCTAGATATGGAATGAATAACAATCAATACAAAATGAACATGTCTCGTGTATAGAAATAATGTTTTAAGTGACAAAATATTTGCTTTGTTGTGCATTAGAACCACACCAGGCATTTAGTCATATTACAAAATAATTTATTGAAGCATCCAGACACTTCACCACGTGAGCAAGCAGCTAGGCTCCTGATTGGTTAACGCGGCGTGAATTCACGCCAAAGTTCCGATTTTTCAACTTGGGCGGCAGACGCGAATTCGCGTCAAATGCGTGAATGCAAAAATGGCACTAACTAAATCATTCGCGCTTAACGCGCCAGACGCTCAATTCGCTCCAATCGCGCGAACTTGACGTGCGAATGAGGTTTTTTTTGAAGTGCGAATAAATTTTTTAGGCGCGTAACGCGTCTTTGCATTGACATAACATTGAAATCATTCGCGTCCGGTGTGATTACGTAGCATTAGTGTCCTAGTTAGTGCACCAGCCTCCCATGCCGGAGACGCCTATTCAAATTCCACTCAGAGTGGGTTGAGTAGGATTGGTTATAATTGGTGCCATGACCCGGATGGGAGTGAGGTCTAGGGGTGTAAGAGCTAATAAGAGCTGTGCTGGTAAACCTCACTCCCCTGATCTCAAGAGGTGCACTAGCAACTGATGCTAAAGGCTGTGTTAGTGCATCCGCATCCCATGCCAGAGATGCTGGATCGAATCCCACTCAGAGCCCTGTCGAATATGACCACAGTGTACCATTTTTTGATGGCTACTTCCAGCAGGATAACACACCATGTCACAAACCTCAAATCTTCTCAACTCAACTCAACTCAACTCAAACGGCCAATCTCAATCTCAATCCAATAGGACAGCTTTGGGATGTGGAGGAACAGGAGATCATGGATGTGCTTTAAAAAGTACATTTTTTATTTTAAAAGCATGCCTGTTGCATCGTGACGCGTTTGATTTTGTCCGTGTTCATGTGTGTGTGTGAGTCTGTTATTACAGGGCCAATTTGTATGGAATTCTGTGGTTAATGAAACCTGCTCGGGCCATTCCCTAACACACACACCATCTGCTGCTCTGTGTGAGTGTGTGTGTGTGTGTGTGTGATGGGGGTCATGAAAAGGGGGTGTAATTTCAGGGGGATTCTGGGCTAAAGTCAACAGGGTGAGATTACAGCAAATTCAGCTCAATAAACGTCTGCAGGCGATGTGTGTGTGTAACCGCTGTAAGGGTGTGTGCATTTCTCTAAATGAAATTCCAAACGTGTGACAAAAAGAACACACAGATTCACACCCAAATAGTCTCACAAACGCACAAGACGAAGATTGAATTATTAAAGCATACGGTCCAGTCTAAATGAGGGGCGTTTCCAGACGAGGGTCTGATTTGGAAAAGAGTGCAGGTTTTCTGATATCTCTCAGCGCTGCGTTTGGTGCTTAATCTAAAGTTGTTCCAAGGGTCTTTCTCAATGGCACCGTTCCTCTATTACAAGAGCTTTCCAAACACAGCTGAAAGCACTCAAACCTATTAACCTGAGGTTAGAGCAAACCCAGAGCTCCAAATTCATTTCTGTAGCGCAGGAACGTTAGTTTGATGAAGCGAGCTTTACAGGTATGCACTGAACTACACCCAAAAACACATTTCTGGAAATGCCATACATCCTGTAGTTTGTGTATAATAGGCACGGTGCATTTTGCAAAAATTAGAACTTCACTTATGTTTTGGATTATGATGTCTAAATCTTAATATTACAATCAAGCGATAAGAAACACTAACAGTGTTTGACCTGATCTCGCCACCATGATGAGCGTTGCCTATTAGGTTGATAATCTCTTCTCAACAAGCCGCACAATTTAAGACATGATCATGTCCATATAGAACAAATAGTGCCGTTTAATACTTAAAGTTACTATCAACACTGATAGTGATGCTCGTCTTAGTGAACGCCACTAATAAAACCACAGAAAATCACCTGTGCGCTTTAACACACATATGTTTTATCAACTAAGAATAACAGCTCATTAAAAATTCCATCCCCGGTTTTATGTGAGCATAAATATCAGAACATTTGGCTCACAGGTGTTTTTAATTGATTAGGCGTTTCCTGTAGCGTAGATTGTTCACACATGAAAGAGTCGTGATATTTCACGGCTCTGTTCAAACCTTTTGTGTTTTGAGAGAAAAGCGAGTGATTTGGGATTCTGGAAGAATTAGGAAAATTGGCAAAAGTCACAACACAAGAGTTGGGTGTAGTCAAAACAGCAATTTGGCAGTGAAGCGACTTTGAAACTGAAGCTGGAAAGCTACAAGCTACTCATAATTTAAATTACAAACAAGCTACTAGAAGAAAACGAAGAAAGAAAAAATGGCTAACTACTCTGAAATGATTTTAAACAGACGATTTTTTTTAATTGTATAACTTCAATGGTTCTTTCTTTTTGCAAACAGAACCTTTGACGAGTCAGTGAATCTGATTGTCTGAATATTAGTCGAGTGTTTTACAAACAGATTCACTAAAAGAGAAAGAGGACTGTGTAGCCCTCAAACCGTATTCACTTTGGAATTGTTGACAAAAGTGGGCAGAGGACTCAGGTGTGATCGTAATTTTTATTTATTATAAATGTTACATCACTGTCTTTGATAAAGTTTTGTCTATCCATTTATTGTGTTTTTTTTATTTTGGGGGTATTTTTGAATTTATTTACTTCAAAAAGTACCATATTTTCTATGTAAATTATGCTTATTTTTATGTTTTATTTTTTTATTTATTTTTTTAACTACATTAAAATATCATTCCAATAAGTTCTTAGAGCTAAAACTTAAAGATGAAGGGACTTTTCGATAAAGTTTTGTCTATCCATTTATGGTGTTTTTTTTTTTTTTTTAATTTTGGGGGTATTTTTGAATTTATTTACTTCAAAAAGTACCATATTTTCTATGTAAATTTATGCTTATTTTTATGTTTTATTTTATTTTTTTAACTACATTAAAATATCATTCCAATAAGTTCTTAGAGCTAAAACTTAAAGATGAAGTGACTTTGCGGTCACCTGGTGTCTTATTTTAGAATGATCTAAATGACAGTTTTTCCACTTTTGACCCAAATACAAGATTAAGGATTTATTTTTTTTCACCCACTCAACATTGTAGAATTGAGTCAAAAAAAATTGTGTGTGTTC